CACGTGGGCGGCCGCTGGGGCCGGGGTCCACCTGTCCCATTTGGCCCCTGGCCCTCCAAAATTGCGGGTCCGCCCGCCCGTGTTTCAGACTAGACGCAGCCTGCCGCGCATGTGCGCGTTGGTCGCTGTGGCTTCTCGCAGAAAGTGCCGCCTTCAGCTGCTCTCTGGTGCCCTGGTATGCCGACCGGCAGTGGGCCACGGCGGGGCACGCGTCATGGGGGCGTCGCGCCTTCCCTGCCCAGAGGACAGGCTCAGCAGCTGACGGAAGACTCGCGGGGGTCTTTCACTGCGGCGACGGGCGAGGCGACGCGCGCTCCCGCGCTTGGTGATGTTCCCTCTGTAATCGGCAAACCAGTGGCCGTTGGCCACTCCTTGGTAGCGCTCTCTGCCCAGCTCCCGCTGTCCCCCGCCCGTGGGATTCTGGCAGCGGCCAGCTGACAATACTGGCAAGTGGACTACCGCTGGGGCCGTGGTCCACCTGTCCCATCTGGCCCCTGGCCCTGCTGTAGCTGTTTTCACCGCGACCAGCGCGCTCCACTCCCCGCGCCCTCTGGTCCCGCCGTGCTGGGGCGGCTCTCCCCCTGCGGTTGGGCTACCTGCCTCGTTCCTTCCTGGTCCCCCCCCGCTCTGGCGGCTGGGCGTTGCGACTCGTCCGCCCCGGCCCCCCTTCCCCCCCGCTCCAGCGGCCCTGTCCTTCCCTGGGGCTTGGGGCTCCCGAGTGCGCGTGGTGCAGCCTGTGCGCTCCCGGCTGCCGGCCGGCCGTGTTGATTTGCCCGCGGTCCCTGGCGGCGTCGCCCACGGCATATTCTTGCTACTTTGATTCGGCGATGAGGCGTGGATCTCCCTGGTTCGGGCAGCCCTCAGTCGTCGGTTCGAGCTTGAGGGTGCGCGTGGCATTCCCTGATCTGGTGGTTCAGGCGCTTACGGTGCCGATTACATTCATCGTGCCCCTGGCTACTTCGCCCGTCTCTGGGGCCTTCCGTGGCCGGACGCTCGCAGGATCAGTGCCCTCTCCAGGGCTTTGGTGTGCGACTTTGGTGGCGCCACCCAGTGCGCCAGTTTGGACCAAGTTGGGCACCCATGGCAGTCGTCGCAGTGTACCGACTGGTCCCCTCTCTGATCACACCCTGACAGACCCTCGCGCCATGTTGGCTGCGTCCCAATTGTTGTTGGCTTATTCGCATGCGCGCTCCCCTGGACCAGTTCCCTGGCAGCTGCAGCTTGCACCCCCCTCGCGCCGGCTCGCCCGCCGAGGCGCTGCCTGTGGTCGCCGGCCCGTCGGCGTTAGGTAGTTCGGCTCTTGCGCGGCCAGGTCGGACCTGACTCGCCGCTAGCGTTTTCGCATGCGGCTGCGACAAAGTATCCCCACCAACCCAGCCAGAAACGATGTCCAGGCGAGTTGAGGTGATCAGGGAAGTGCGGCAGCAAAGAGGTGGACGGCCGAATCGTGCAAAGGAGAGGAGGAGAAGGACGAGGTGGATGGATGGATGGATGGATGGATGGATGGATGGATGGATGGATGGATGGATGGATGGATGGATGGATGGATGGATGGATGGATGGATGGATGGATGGATGGATGGATGGATGAGGGAGTGTGAAGAAGCAGGAGGAGGAGGAGGAGGAGCAGGAGGAGGAGGAGGAGGAGGAGGAGGAGGAGGAGGAGGAGGAGGAGGAGGAGGAAGAGGAGGAGGAGGAGGAGGAGGAGGAGGAGGAGGAGGAGGAGGAGGAAGGCGGAGGAGGAGGAGGAGGAGGAGGAGGAGGAGGAGAGGAGGAGGAGGAAGAGAAGGGGTAGGAACAGGAAGGAGGAACAGGAGGAACAGGAGGAGGAGGAGGAGGAGGAGGAGGAGGAGGAGGAGGAGGAGGAAGAGGAGGGCGAACACAAGGGCCAGAGGTCTCTTGGATGCCTCTCGGAGCCTCTTGGGGTATCTCTTGGGCGATTCTTGGTGGCCTCTTGGGACGTCTTGGGGGTCTCTTGGCGATCCTGGGGGGTCTTGGGTGCCTGTTTTTTTTTGGGGGGGGGGGCCGCTGAGGGTTTTCTTGGGGGCCTCCTGGGGGCCTCTTGGGGGCCTTGTGGGGCCATCTTGGGACCTCTTGGGGCCCCCTGGGCGCTTCTTGGGGTCATCTTGGAGGAGATCTACCAAAGAAGAGCGGAGCTTCAATTAGGGTTGCCCCCCCCCCCAGGAGGCCAACACGGGGCCAAAACCCTTGTAAAATCACGGATTTTGGCTTCCTCGCCGAGGCCGTCTTGGACGCTCTGACCGCTCGCGGCCCCCCCCAGGTCCACGGGGAGGGGGTAGGGGGAGGGGTCAAGTTACCCCCTCCCCGCCCGCAAGCCGTCTCGCTCACTCCCACCCGCCCTCCCAACACATACGTAGCACCCGAGTCTGGCCCGAGCCTCAGCATATTCAGCAGTCGTCTTTGGATGGGCAGCTACTGGGGGCCAATCCGCCGCCGCCGCCGCCGCCGCCGCCTCCGCCGCCGCCGCCGCCGCCGCCGCCGCCGCCGCCCGCCGCTGCCGCCCCGCCGCCGCCGCCGCCGCCTGCCGCCGCCGCCGCCGCCGCCGCCGCCGCCGCCGCCGCCCCCGCCGTAACCGCCGCCGCAGCCGCTGCCGCCGACGCCCCCGCCGCCGCCGCCGCCGCAGCCCCCGCAGCCCCCGCAGCCGCCGCCGCCGCCGCCTCTGCAGCCGCAGCAGCCGCCGCCGCCGCCAAGTGTACTCTGTATTGTTTTTTGACAAGGATGGTGGGGAGGGGCCGCATCGGGTTGGCTGCGCATTTTCTGAATTTGGAGGTAAAGTGTGGTTTGTATTGTGTTTTTACAAGGGATGGTGGTGGTGGGGGGTGTCGGCATGGACTCGGGTTGGCCCCCAGTCGCCTGGGGGAAGGGGTGTTTATTATTAGGGAGCAATGATAAACCCGTCCCCGGAGGGGAAGAAGGAGGTGTGGAAGAAGAAACGCCCACTAAACCACCGACGCCCAAAGGGCTGGTGGGATCCTCTTTCTCATCTTCAATTTTGCCTTATAGATCACCCCGGTTTGTCGCACTCCCGTATGTGCCAATATGAGGAGGTCTAGGAGTTTCACCGAAGACTGCCTCGCCGCGTATGTCATGTAGGTTGCCATTTGCGACAGGTACTCGGATGAACCGTTTTTTTTGTTTTTTGTTTTTATTCTTCCATTTTTTATTTGAAAACATTAATAAAAAAAAGACGGGGCTGTCGCTGTAGGCTCTTGCACATTCGTTGTAAACACTCGCGACAGTTAAGGATGGTGGACAGGGCCTTTTCGGAATGGGGCTGGGTCCTCGTTTTGAAAAGAGCACCCTGCGTTTCTTACTCAATCCTCCTTCCTCCCCCCTCCCCCTCCTCCCTCCCCCCTGGCGCCCAGTACAGCGTTTCGCGGCCCCAGAGGGAGCTCCACCGAAGGTCCCAGTGGCGCAGTCCGCAGGCGGTTTCTGCGCCCAATACAGCGTTTCGCAGTACCTATGCGGTTTCTGCGCGCAGTACAGCGCTTCGTGGCCCCAGAGGGAGCCCCACCGAAGGTCCCAGTGGCGCAGTCCGCATGCGGTTCGCCCACCCAGTAAAGCGCTTTATGGCCCCAGAGGGAGCCCCACCGAAGGTCCCAATGGCGCAGTTCGCACGTGCCCCCCCCCCCCCCCCCCCCACCAAGTACAGCGTTTCGTGGCCCCAGTGGGAGCTCCACCGAAGGTCTCAGTGGCGCAGTTCGCATGCGGTTCCCCCACCCAGTACAGCGCTTCGTGGCCCCAGGGGGGGCTCCACCGAAGGTCCCAGTGGCGCATTCCGCATGCGGTTTCTGCGCTCAGTACAGCGCTTCGTGGCCCCAGAGGGAGCTCCACCGAAGGTCCCAGTGGCGCAGTCCGCATGCAGTTTCCCCACCTGGTACAGCGTTTCGTTTGCCCAAAGGGAGCTCCACCAAGGGTCGCAGTTGCGGAATTTGCATGCTGTTCCCCCGCCAGTGCAGGGTTTGGTGGCCCCAGAGGGAGCTCCACGGAAGACGATACCCACAATCACCATTGCATATGGTTGGGGTTTTCGCCAGGCTAATTTAATTAGTTGTAGTTGTATGTAGTGTGCGCGCGTGTGTTATTTGTTGTTGAAGAGCTTGCAGCAACTAAAGGGATGGATGCTGATTTCTCCTCCTCCTCGTCCTCCTCCCTCTCTCCCGCCCTCCCCTCCTTCCCTCCCTTCCTTCCCTCCCTTCCTCATCCCCGCTCTTCTCCTGCTTCCGCCACCGTCATCAACGTGTCCTCCTTGTGCCTCCTTCCTTCCCCTCCCTTCCCCTCCCTTCCCCTCGCTCCTCCCTTCCCCCTTCCTTCCTCCCACCCCTTCCTTCCGCCCCTCTTTCTCCCCCTCCTCCTCCTCCTCTTTCCTCTATTCTCCTCCCTTTGCTCGCCTCCATCACATTATCCTTCTCATCCCCATCCCTTTTCCTTATGTATCACTTTTCCATGTCGCACCCCCATACGTTGCAGTATGAGATGATCTAGGCGTTTCACCAGAGACTGCCTCGTCAATTATTTCCTGTACCGGAGTCGGATGAGGGCACTTTTTTGTTTTCAGAATGAGACTCTCGCTGTACCGCCGTGCAAATTCGTTGCAAACACTCGCATCAGTTGGGAGGATGGTGGACAGGGCCCTTTCGAAATGGGTCTTTCGCTTTTGTGCCGCGCGCTTTCGTTATGTTTGATTTAGTTGTAAGTTGTGTTGTTGTTATCCTGTGTGTATGCGTGCGTACGTGCGTGCGTGTGTGTGTGTGTTTTGCTTTGGTCAAAGCTTGCAGCAACTACAAGGATGAATGCTGATCCTCCTCCTCCTCCTCCTCCTCCTCCTCCTCCTCCTCCTCCTCCTCCCTCTCCCCCGCCCTCTCCTTTTCTCCCTTCCTTCCTTCCTCCTCCCTCCTCTTCGCTCTTCTCCTGCTTGCGCCACCCTCCTCAACCTGCTCCTCCCTTGTGCCCCCTCCCTTCCTCTCCCTTCCCCTCCTCGCTCCTCCCTCCTCCCTCCCTCCCGCTCCTTCCTTCCGCCCCTCCTCCCTGAAAGATGCGGAGACCGGGGACGGAGGAGGGGACAGCTCCCTCGCCAAGGCTCGAGCCCAGCTCCCATCGGCTGGCGAAGCAACCCCTCGAGACGAGACCCGCGGCCCCGCGCCTTTTCCCAGCATCGTGTAGCCTATTCCCATCCCCACTGGGTCATGGTATCTCATCCCTCCTCCTCCTCCTCCTCCTCCTCCTCCTCGAGGGATCCTCCTCCTCCTCCTCCTCCTCCGCCTCCTCCTCCTCTTCCTCGATCCCCGCCAGCCCACCCTCCCAGATTGGGGTGGGCCCCGCGAGCCCCAGAATGAACAGCACATCTCCCCGTCCAGGGCGACACACTGGTCCGTGGGGCCGCGGCCACGCCGGTGGGGACACATGTCAGGTCCGCGCCGCGCTGGCGCGGCGGCGACGCTGGCTCGGGCGCTCAAGCTCGAGCGCCACCAGTGGCCCAGAATCGGCCGCTCTCGACAGACGGCGATACATATTCCAACGCCGCGATCGATCGAGGTTGAGCGACCCACCTCGGCGTCAGAAACAAGCGCCCGCGACATCGCGACGCGAACCAGCCCGTGGGGATCGCCGACTCGATGCTCGTCTTCCTCCGGAGAGCCATGCGCTGCCTCGGCGCAGTGGTGGTCGCCCTGGCCCCCGTGGCCAGCGGGCAGCCAGTGCAGACCGTGCGCACCAGCTCCTGGAGCTTCTCCAACCTCCGCGGCCTGGCCTTCGCGCGGTCCTCGTCCTCCAGCAGCGTCTCCTGGGGCCTCGGCGCCGACGGCCAGATGCACAAGGAGGTGCACCGGCAGGAGGACAAGATGTACCAGGACAGGTCTCGGGGTGTCCCTGGCCCCAGGCGTCCTCCTCTTCTCGACCCGCTCTTTGGGCACCCCTGGGGCCCCCTGGGCCTCGCGAGAGGTGCCGCGGAGGCCGTGGGGTCTCCCCGGAATGCCTGGGGGCACCCTGTGCCAGGGGGGCCTCTTGGAGGCAGTTTGGGCGGCTCTTGGAGGCAGTTTGGGCCTCTTGGGGCCTCTTTTGGGCCTCTTGGGGCCTCTTGGGGCCTCTTGGGGCCTCTTTGGGGCCTCTTTGGGGTCTCTGGGGGGCCTCTTGGGGCTTCCACTTGGGCAGCACCCGAAGGTCGGTCCAGAAGGAGATGCACTCGGAGCTGAACTGCCTCGACGGCCACTGCCACAACCAGGTCATCGGCGGCACGCCAACATACTTATATTATGTGTGCGTCGCCCCCCCATGGGGCGACGCGCGCACCGAAAAATCTTATAGTGTATGCGTCGTGGCGGGCGCTTTCTGGCCACACCGCTCGGGAAACGGTACCCTACAAGATGGGTATACCATATGTTCGGGTCGGGCGCGCGCCTCCAAGGAGGACATATAATAGTACTAGTATGTCTTTGCGCGTTTTCGCCTCCCGCGGTCCGCGGGCGTCCGCGTGTTGGTTTCGTGCGTTCGGTCGCAACTCGTGGGAGCCCGGTATACCCTCTTAATTCCGTCTCTGCGTCGATTCACGTCGATCAGCGTCTGGGAGTCGAGATAGCGCCGATCTAGCGTCGGTTAGCGTCGACTAGCGTCGATTCAGCGTCGATTCAGTGCCGATTGGCGTCGATCTAGCGCCGATTCGCGTCGATTCGCCAGAGCCGACGAGATGGCATGTCCTCGTGCGCCCCAGGTCCTGCAGGGCTACCAGCCGGCCGGCCCCGGGCGCCTGCAGCGCGTGCTCGACCTCATGGGCGTCCGGCGCGCGCCGGTGCAGACGGCCACCGTCCTCGTGCTGAGCCCGCCTCCGGCGGTCGCCCTCCGCGGGGCGGGCGCCGAGGACCCCGGGCGCCCCATTGGACGGGGCCGGGGCGAGGACAGCTCCGCCCCAGAGCGTTCCGGGGCGCTCAGCATCGCGGGCGGTGTTTCTCCCCCAGTCCCCGAGTTTCGCCCGAAGAGTCTGGCCGCTCAGAAAACTTGGAGAACCCTGGGATACATCCCAAGGGGGCGATTCGGACGCACCCCTATCGAGGATGGACCCCCCCCATGTATATCCCAGGGTTGGGCCCCAGGTCCACTCGGAACCCCCACGAATCCTGGGATAGGGGTCGACATATCCCCTGTTACATCAGTCGAAGAAAAATGCCATGAGCATAAACTTTGTGCGCTCCGCGCGGATTTCTCGGATCCGCGCTAGGCCCCCTCTGGCGGCCCCTCCGGCGCCGCCCCTGGCGCGCTCCGCGCGCCAGGGAGGGCGGTCCAGCGCAGATCCAAGAGATCCGCGCGGAGGGTCAAAAGATGATGTTTATGGTGCTTTTTCGTCTTCTTCTTCTTCTTCTTCTTCTTCTAAACGTGCCGGGGCGCTCTCAGAGCGTTCTGGAACACTCTGGGAAGGCCGCGGCGCCGCTAGGAGGAGGCCTCTAGTGTCGGAACGCTCTCAGAGCGTTCCAGGACGCTCTGGGAAGGCCGCGGCGCCCGAGGCATCCTTCGGAGCCGCCCGATCTCCGAGGTTCTCAACTTTTCTCCTCGCCCGATGTTATCCTCGTCCTGGCTTCGTCTTACAGATATCTCGGGGGCGGCCAAGAGGGGGGTGATGACTAGGGGGGGTGGATATCATGGGGGGGGCCATGATTTCTCCCCAGACTTCATGGCGCCCCTCATTATTGAATTACGTCCCCGCCCCCCCCGAGCCGCGCACATGCCGCCGGCCATGATCTGCGCCCCCCCCCATTTGGACGCCCCCCTCTTGGCCACCCCCGAATATCCGTGTCCTCATGATGTTCCAATCTACTTCGGCCTTGGCTACCAGACATAATTTTGAGCACCAAGGAAATGCCGAAACTGGACGGTTTTCCAGTGTCGGGCTTTGGGAGGCGATACTCGTTCCACACTTTACCAGCGTGTCGGACAGATATTGCTTCGATACTCTTCTGGGATGCGGTCCTGAAGCGCGATAGGAATAACATAACCGTATTTGGCCTCGCGGGCCAGGCCCCTGGGCTGCGACCCCGCGGATACGGGGCGCTTCTCCGCGGATGCTCCGCGCGGAACGCATCCTGCGGGATCGCGCCTTGTAGTCTAAACCTCGAGTCGAGCTGTGGCGAAGCGACCTGGCTTGCATATAGGCCCACCAAAGACTGTCCTAAGAACCTTTTGTGGTCTGCACGAGATGTTATTAGAACATTTCTGGCTGAGACTGTTTTATTTAATCGCTTCGCTCATTCCGCCGGCCCTGGAGCCCTCTTTCGGGCCTCTTGGGGGCCTCTCGGGGACCTCTTGGGAGTTTCTTGGGGCTCCTTGGCGTCGTCTTGGGGGCCCCCAGGGCCTCTTAGGGGGCTTTTGGGGGCCTCTTGGGGCGGGAGGGGGTGTAGTCGATTGCGGCTCCCCCCTCGGAGGCCACGATCCCCGTGAGGGGTGCCGAAAAATGGCCCTCCCCTGGAGTGCTCTGGTGGCTTCTCCCGGGACCTTGCCGGGGTACTTTTCGTCCGGGGGCCCCCAGGGGCCGCTCCGCGCGCGCGAACTAGAAATATTGTTAACCAGTTACCGGAGATCTTAGCACGCCTTTGGCCCGTTGGGCCGGCGACTTTTAACACATGAGGTTTATGTTCTACGAGCATTGTTTTTGCTTTTCGAGCATTCTTTGGGTCCAGTAAAATTCCGTGGTAGGCTAACAGGAATGCTGGGGCGGTCGGTCCTTGCTCAATCGAGGGTGCAGATGCGGATATATGATTCGCCGCCCATGAGAGGACCCCCGCCCGCCGCCCACCCTGCGCCAGGCGCTGCGCCAGGGCATGGCGAGGCCTAGGACCGGCGCGGTGGACTGTGCGGAGGTGGCCCTCCTCTTTGCAGGCCAGATTCGGCAACGGCAACTGGAACACATGCATTACCAGTGGCGGGCTGCTTCTCAATCCCAGGACTTTTTGGAGGGTCGGGGGCGACGTCGGGGTGGTGGTGTTTGCCCGCGCTTTCCAGGGGAGCCAACAACAGACGTATGTATACACCAGGATCCTGTATGCACCAGGATCCGCTCTCCTGGGCAACTTCCTGTGCAGAAAGCGTCGGTGTGCAGAGTGCGGTTCCCTGCCGTGGGCGGCGCGCAGCGCGGGCGAGCCTCCCCCTCGCTGCGCCGCGGGGAACCCTGGCGACGGCCAGGCCCTACATTTTTTTTTCTTTTTTGTTTATTGTTTCTTTTTTGTGTAACTATGTTTTCATGTTTTTTGTTTGTTTTTTGTTTATTTTTTGTGTGTGTGTGTGTGTTTTCCTTTTTTTTGTTTTTTTTAATGTTTTTGTGGACGCCTCTCGGGAGGCCGGTACTGGGCCCCAGGCCGTCATGAGTGCGACACCCAGGCTGCAGAGGCCGCCCTGCAGCGTCGTGCTTCCCGTCCCTGGCTGTGCGTCAGAGCCCCCGACGTCTCCTTCTCTTAAGCCGGGCACGTCCTTCTACAGGAGGGATATTCCAGAATAGTAGAAACAATCGTACCAGGAAGATTTTGCTATTACTTGTCGATCATTCTTGTCTTACTTACTTCGACTGGTCTTTTCTTTTTCTTCCGAAATCCGCCTGTAGGAGGACATGCCCGACCTACTCCTTGTCCGTTTTCTGTGCCCCACTTCGTTACGGGCTCGTCCCGCCCGTAGCCCGACCGGCGCCTGCACCGGCTTCGACCTGCGTGCGCCCTGCTGACTCAAACGTGGTTTTCAGTTTTTGCCAAAACTTTTGAGGGCTTGGCGAAGTTTCGCCAGTCCACTTGTGGGGATCGGGGCGGACGCATCAAGGCAAGTCCAGATAGCGATCGGTGCAGATCCAGGTAAGTCTTGGTAGAGCCAGGCAGATCTAGATAACATCCAGGCATCTCCCGAGAAATTTGGAGCAAGCCGTGGCCGCTCCAGGGCGCGTCGAGGGACGGCAGAGGTCGTTAGGCCCTCTACGACGAGAAGTCCCGGATGGGAGGGTCGAGGGCGAGCCCACTGCCCTTGCCGTCTGCCAGGTCGCTCGCAGGGCGCGCGGATGATCGCGATTTGCGCGTCGCGGTCTGGCCTCCGAGCACGGGAGCAAAAAATGCGATAGAGTCATCGCAGGCCTGGAGGTTGACACCAACGCCAATATCGGTAGTGTGTCTCCACCGAGGGAAGAAGATCCCGATCTCGGTGATGGTGGTCATATTCTGGCTTCCAAGGTGACCATAGTATTACCACGAACACCGAAATCGAGGATCAGACTCCCCCTTGGGAGGCAACCCCCTTTGTTGGTGTTGGTGCCGATTTCCAGGCCTCCAAAGTGTCCTGGTGTTGATGATCGACGTCCCCCCAAGGCACCCTTGCATCCTTCCCCGTCGGCCCATCCTTGGCCACCTTCGCCGGCCGCGGCCCGCCCGCAGAGGGCCGACGTGGCCCTCCGAGGCCCTCGTATCCCTATCGTTGCTTTGGGCTTCTCCGTATTCTGCGGGTTGTCAGCCGCGCGCAGAGGGGGGGGCGGGGGGAGGGGGAGGGCTTCTGAGAAGCACCCCTGCTTCTTAGAAGGTGCTGGCCTTATCTATAGACGTATGGCTGGCGCCTTCTAAGAAGCAGCCTCCTTTTAAGAAGCCCTCCCTCCTCCCTCCACCCCCTTGTGCGCACCGCCGAGGTTGACTGTAAACATAGGAGCTCCCAGCCACATGGCCGCGGGGGCCCTTCCTCAGAGCTTTTCGGAGGGGGGGCAAGGACGCCCTCCGCCGGCGAAGGGCATCAAAGCCGTTGTTTGTTTTTTTGTTTTTTTCCTTCTCCGAGAGAGCTAGCTATGCACACCTAAGCCGCGCCCCTGGCCAGGCCTATCACGAACCCAGGATCGCTGTACATCCCTTCGGTGCCGAGCCAGGAGGGGCTTGCGCCGCTCCTGGGCTCAGGGTGTGCCCCGGCAAAGGCCGGTACGAGCGCGTGCGTGGCTCTCTCCCCCACGGCCCCTCCAGGCTCGGCCAGGGAGGAATGTACAGCGATCCTGGGCGGGCTCGTCCTCCGCCGTTTCCGTCCACACCTGCTTCCTGGGGCCAGCTTTCCTCCCTCCTTCGTTCTCTGGCGGCCCCGGGGTCCGCTGAGGGTCCCCGGCGGATCCGCCTGGCGCGCTCTTTGTCTCACCACGGGGGGCCGCCCAGGGGATCCCCCGCGCCGCGCCGCGCCGAGGCTCCTCGCTCCTCGCGATCGTCGTCTCCGTCCTCGGAAAGCACCTCGGCCAGCGCAGCCAGGCCCGCGAGCTGGCCGAGCCCCTCGCCGCCAGCGCCGCGCCGGCACCGTCGGTCGCCCCGGCGGCCTCCAAGCCGCAGCGCGCTGGCGCCTGGTTGACCTGCGAGGAGCACCCAGACCTTCGAGGGAGGAGCAGGTACCGATTCTGCTGCCTCGCTCTCGCCCGCGTGGGCCTCCTGGGAGGCCTTTGTCGCCACGGCTGGATTCGCCGCGGAATCCTGGTCAGGACGCGCCCCAGGAGAGCTCCAGGGAGTCGCGGCATCGGTAACCTTGGGTTTCCCGAGCCTTGGGTGCCCGATCGGGGATCGGGGCGGGAGCCGTTGTAGTCATGCTCCTCCTCCTCCTCCTCCTCCTCCTCCTCCTCCTCCTCCTCCTCCTCCTCCTCCTCCTCGCCGTGCACGCGTGCGCGGGCCCTGGGCTGGGCCCAGGGCCAGTGCGCGTGCCTCCCTGCCGAGGCCAGGAGCAGCGCTTGCACCGCTCCGCGGCCCAGGGTGGGCCTGGCCAGGATCGGCGCGGGTGCATGCCCAGGAGTCATCTATAAGGAGAAGGAGTGGGGGAGGAGGAGGAGAAGGAGGAGGGGGAGGAGGAGGACCAGTGTAAACCCAAGAGCCATCAACGATGTTGGAATTAACCCGCCGTCCGAGTTCCCTCTTCATAGGCCCTTACAATTCATTTCCATTGAGGGAGCTGCCTCGTTGGAAGACAACCGTTTGAATATCTTGAAGCATGCCAAAACATTGTTCTCGGGGCTTCAACGCCACGTATCAACCTGACTGCTGCGTTCTGGAGATCCAGAATCGTGCCATAACGCTACTCTTTGATTCATGGGCTTACGCCGCACCGCCGACCCCTTGGGACTCCTGGGAAGGCCTGGGGGGGGGTCCTTGCAGCACTAACGATACGTCTCTCGTTATCTTGCGCGTGGTCTTACTTGTGCACTGTGCCGCAGCCGTCACCGTCGACATAGTCAGGACCTCCATCGCCACCAGACTGCTGGCACTCGGAGCACGCTCAGAAGGATCGCGATCCTTCTCCTCCAGCCACGCGACAAGAAACTCAACGCTTTGCAGTCTGAGGAGCGCTGTTGCTGTGAGTATCGTGTTCGGTGGAGCCCCCCATGTCGTCGCGACAAACCGCCGCCGGCTGCTGCGGCCTCGCACCAGGCCCACCCTCAGCAGCTGGCGAACCAGGCCGTCGCGCGAATCTTCATATGTTACGTGTGTATATATTCAATGATAGTATATATATATATATATATATATATACATATACAGATGTGTATATATACATATACACATGCAATCTTATATTGTACACACACGCGTACATAACATGGGCAGGCATGCGCGCACAGAGGTGGCACTGCGCGGTGCCATTCGACAGCGTGTTTTTTGGTTCAAGAATTGGCTCGTGGTGTGTTCATTTGGCGCCAGGTAGGCCCATTCCTTCCCGAGGGCGGAAGTGGTGAGGAAGGGCGACATTCTCGGTGCGTAGTGAGGCCGCCCATTTTTTGTGCCTGTTCCGTAGCCAGTTTCGGCCCGTGCGCGCGCGCGCCCAGGGTGCCCGTCCATGCGGTTCGCGCGGCAGTCGCAGCGATGGCTGCAGGGTCTCTGCAGGTCGTTTTTTTTTTTTTTTTTTTTTTTTTTTTTTTTTTTTTTTTTTTTTTTTTTTTTTTTTTTTTTTTTTTTTTTTTTTTTTGTGTGTGTTTTTGTTTTCTTTTTTTGGTTGGGTATGTGGGGGATCGTGCGGAGTTTTTGTGGAATGCCGTTGCGGAGCGTGTCGGAGAATTGCTGTGGTGTGGGGGTAGCCGTTGGGCGATCGATCGGAGGGTCGCCCGTCGTCGTCGCGGTCGTCGCGGACTGTCGTTGAACGCCAGCAGGGCCGGCTGAAGCCAGGGAGTGCAGGCGACATGTGCATCAATGTAAGCAGACAGAGATGCGATGTAAGAGGCGGCTGCTATGATAGACATACATGGGGAGCGGGGCGCCCCCCTGAGAAGACACCTAGGTGAATCAGGGGCGCCCCCCTGCTTGTCATGACAGAGTGTGCCCGTTCTACGCGTAGGTACTGCTAACATTGGGTTTCAGCTTGATGTTAGCGATGCTTTATCGATGGTGTGAACGTTCGTCGGGCGTGAGCAGTGCTGCATGTCGCGCGCCGCATGGCTCGGAATGTGCCCGATCACTTTTGGCCGAGGGCGCCTGTTTGTAGCACTTTGGCCCGGCAGAACTTAAAGCGTCAGGGAGACGCGTGGAAGAAGAGGGGAATAACGATCATAACCAAGCCAGGAAGAGGAGAAACGCCAAGGAGGGGGCTCGGATGAGAAGAGCGAGCAGAGGAAAGGCGGAGAAGAGGAGGAGGGGGGGAGTGGGAGGGGGAGACGCGCGACTAGAGGGCGATAAAGGGGAAGCGACAGCTGCCGTTGCAGAGTCGCGTCGGCTGAGCGCAGAAGCCATGGCATTATCGACGCGCGTGCGGGGCCGAGAGGCGGGCGGAGATGAAAGGGGCAACAGAGGAGCGTGGGCGAGAACAGACGGGCGCGTAGAGGTGCCAGAGGAAGAGTTGAAGCGACGGGAAGCAGAAGCTCGGGCATCGCAGACTAAGATGAGGGGGCGGGTTGGAGGGTTGCGAGATTGAGAGGGGGGGAGGGGGGGGGGCAGGTTCCTGCAGGCGGCGCTGAGGAGTTGCGGCGGTGGAAAGCAGGACTGCGCGGGCCTGGCAGCAGACGCGTCGTGGATATGAATGAGAAACAAAGAGGAGTCGTAGAGAAGGTCATAGACAGGATGATCGCTGAGTGTCAGGAGGACGAGGGTACAATCGGCAGTTCGGAGCCGTTGCTGTGGATGCTGCACGGAGGCCCAGGCACGGGGAAGAGCTTTGTGGTAGAGACCTTGCGAAAACACGTGTTCGAGAGAGTCATGGGCTGGGGGCGCGGGCTGGACTTCCAAGTGGCTGCGTTGCAAGCCGCGAGCGCGTCCAGTCTGGATGGGCACACGTTGCGCGCCGCGTTTGGGATGGCCCCGCGCGGCGCCAGTGCGGAATCCGGCAAGGAGCGCGGAGAGCCAGGTGCAGGGAAAGTAGAGGCAGCGAAGCGAATTCAGCAGTGGCGTTGGCTCATCATTGACGAAGACGAAATCAGTGTGGTCAGTGCAAATTTTCTTGCAGCGTTGGATGCGCACTTGCGGTCTGTGATGTCGGCAACGAGGCAAGGGAAGGTGGGTGCCGATAAGGTGGGCCGTCCGTTTGGAGGTGTCAATGTGTTATTCTGCTGGGATTTCTACAGGTTGGAACCTCTTGGCGGAACTCCATTGCATGCGATTCCGACGTCGTGGGCACGGAAGGCGGGGCAGTATGCGCCAGGCGCCGAAGAATATCATGGTCAGTCCTTCTTCTGGGGCGAGGGGCCGGGGTCCGTGGCGGGGATGGCGGAATTGGTAGAGCGCAAGCGTTTGGAAGAGAAGGACGAGTGGTTCCTGGCAGTGCAAGATGAGTTCCGACGGGGGGCCCTGGCCGAAAGGGCGCGCCAGTTTCTGCGTGGGAAGCCCACAGACGATCCAGGGTCTTGGTTGAATGACCAGCCAATTTGTGGTTCGCTAACCTGCATGCAGAACGTGGAGGCTATCGCAGAGGACAACGAGCTGGAGTGTGGACGGTGTGCAGAGGAAAGAAAGCGTCGATGTCTCGCAGCCATCAGCGCCGCAGACGAGCGGTCCGCACTTCCGCAGTTCGTCGAAGCCACTGCCATTTATCTGAATCAGGATGTGAAGTGCAAGATAGCGCGGCAGCGGGCCGTAGACTGGGCTGCGTGCCAGAAGAAACAGATTTCGTGGGCTTATGCGCGGGATAAGGCCACGCACGCGACGTACCAGGAAAGGCCGTGCACCTCAGCAGACAAAGCGCGGTGGCTCGGATACCACGACAAGGCTCGTGCAGACGTGCCAGGATGGTTACCGCTTGCCGTGGGCATGCCAGTTGTACTGACGGACCATTTGGACCGATCTGAGAAGCAATTGCTACGAGGGTGTCGCGCGACGATGCATTCATGGGTGGTAGAAGAAGAAGAAGAAGAAGAAGAAGAAGAAGAAGAAGAAGACGTGCAGGGCGTGTCGTCGCGAGTGCCGCGTAAGATGCCGAGGCGAATCGTGTTAGACTTTCGCGCGGGGTATTCGGGCGCTGACAGGGATGCCGGGACCAGGGCTGCATCCCATGGCCCCTCGTGCTCGGACGTGGCATCGGGACTCGCATCGAAAGAAGCCCGTGGTGGGGGTGCGACGGAGGCAGTTTATAATTTCGCCTGGGTTGGCGCGCGCAGCGCAAGGGCGAACGCTCGACGCGGTAATGGCAGACTTGGAGGAAGGCAGAATCGTGAGCTGGATGTCGAGCTACGCGGCCATAGCGCGCGCGAAGACTCGGCAGGGCCTGCTCGTGCATCGGCCATTCTCGAGACCGCCGTATACTCATGGAGAATTGGAAGGCACGAGGTTGTTGTTACAGAAGTTGCGGGGGGAAGCGTTGCCGTGGCCCGACATCGAGAGAAGGTTGATGCCGCGGAAAACGCGCGGGACATGTCGGGCGGTGAAGGGAAAGGCTGATTTCAGCGAGAATGAGTTCGGCGCGAAGTCGGGCCCGAGCTTCTGCTGCGAGTGCACGGAGATGTTGAAGGGGCAGCGGGAAAGTGGTGCACGACTTGTGACCAATGGGCCGAGATGGCCTCCAGAATGGCGGGGGCCGAGTCCGAAAAGGAGCAGAGTGTTCGCGCGGACAAGCAAATGCAACAGGTGCGCAGGGCCACCAGCCCGGGGGAAGTCGCGGAAAGAGTCTCAGGGTTGGGAGCAGAATGTACGAGGCAAATTCAAGATCCGTTGCGCGGAATGCTGTGAATTCCTGAAGACGGCAGAAATTACGGCGAACCAGTACGCGAGGAAGGGCGCAGGGGAGAAGCTCTGCAAGAAGCGCGCGGGGAAGAGGATGGAACGAGCGGGGCCAATCGCCGGAGGAAAAAGAGTGCATGAGTGAAACGAACACTGCTCGACGAAGCGCGCGCCGGCAACAGCCGCTGAGGTGTTCGGCGTGCCCAAAAGGGGCAGACGGAAGAGGGCGGGAATTCGCGGGCGCGAGGCGCCTGACAACATCGCAAATCACGCACTATTATACTACGGGCGCAGACCATGCGTGCGTGATGCGTGCCGCGACTGCGACGCGCATCAGAAGCGATCGCGGGTGTTCAGGTGTTCAGCGCGCCCGAGAGACGCAGATGGGAGAGGCCGAGAGTTCGCGGACAGTACGCATCTGCCTGATAAGCAAGTGAAGCACTTCTTCGCGACGGGTTCGGAGCATCGCCCAGTCAAGTGCCGCGCGTGCCAGGAAAAACGCAATCGGGCGCGAGTGCTCGCGCGCTCCGCGTGCCCGAAAGAAGCATATTGAAAAGGGCGAGAATTCAGGGGCAGGGCGCATATGACAGATACGCTAGTGAAGCACTTCTTCGCGAAGGGTTGGGACCGTCGCCCTGTCGCGTGCCGCGCGTGCCAGGGAGAACGCAATCAGCCGCGAGTGCGCACGTGCTCCGCGTGCCCGAGAGAAGCAGATGGGAAAGAGCAAGAATTCACGGGCAGGACGCATATGACAGATACGCAAATGAAGCACTTCTTCGCGAAGGGTTCGGACCATCGCCCTGTCGCGCGCCGCGCGTGCCAGGAAGAACGCAATCAGCCGCGAGCGCTCGCGTGCTCCGCGCGCCCGAAAGCAACGGATGGGGGAGAGCGGCAATTCACGGACAGGACGCATCTGACAGATACGCAAGTGAAGAGTTTGTTTAAAGAAAGGTTCGGCCCATCGCTCGGTGGTGTGCCGGGCGTGCCACGAGCAAAGGCAGGTGGCGAAAGAGTTTGAATGCTCCGCATGTCCCCTGAAAAAGGACGGATCAAAGCCTGCGTTCACTGACGGCTGCCATCTTTCGACAGACCAGGGGAAGACGTATTTCCACCGAGGCAGTCCGGTAGTTTGCGCCAAGTGCTATAAGGCGGGGCGGGCGCCTCGGAGAGACCCGCCGAAACGCCCTGCGGAGGCAAGTGACGAGCGCGGCGGGAAGCAACGCAAGTTGCGAGGAATCTGACCGCGAGTCGCGCGCGCGCCGTCTTCGGGGCTCTCTTGGGCCGCCCTCGGCCCCTCTGGGCCCGTCTTGGCGCCCTCTTGGGCTGTCGCGGGGCCCTCGTGGAGGCTTCTTGGACCGTCTGGGTGCGGTCTTGGGCGGCTCTGGGGCCGCCCGGGAGCGGGGGGCACCCCGAAAGGCGCACGTGCGAAAATATACGTTTTACGGAGGGAACTGGCGATTTTGTGCGTCCAGAGGCCTTCTTGTGGCGCATCGTGGATGCCTCTTGGGGCGTTTGTGTGGCCTCTTTGGGCGTCTGGCAGCCGTCGTCAGTGTTTTTGATCGCTCTTGGACCGTCGGGGACCATGTGGAGCTCTCTTCGAGGCCACTCGGAGCGCTCCTGGAGCGCTCTCGGAGCCGTTTTCGGAGCCCTTCTGGGCCGTCTTGGACGTCTGTTGGCCCGTCTTGGGGCCCTCGAGGGCTATGCGGAGAACCCTGTTGGAGGCGTCTTGGGCCGTCTAGGAACGGGTTTGGGGGGCTCTGGGGCCGCCCAGTAGCGGGGGGCACCCCAAAAGGCGCACGTGTGGAAAATATACGTTTTACGAAAGGAACGGGCGATTTGTTGCATCTACAGGGCCTCTTGGCGCGAGTCTTGGATGCTTCTTGGGGCGTCTTGGGGGGCCTCTTGTGCCGTCGGGAGGCCGTCGTCAGTGTTTTTGATCGCTCTTGGACCGTCGGGGACCATGTGGAGCTCTCTTCGAGGCCACTCGGAGCGCTCCTGGAGCGCTCTCGGAACCGTTTTCGGAGCCCTTCTGGGCCGTCGTGGACGTTTGTTGGCCCGTCTTGGGGCCCTCGAGGGCTATGTGGAGAACCCTCTTGGAGGCGTCTGGGGCCGTCTGGGAGCGGGTTTGGGGGCTCTGGGGCCGTCCAGGGGCGGGGGGCACCCCAAAACGCGCACGTGTGGAAAATATACGTTTTACGAAGGGAACGGACGATTTTTTGCGTCTGCAGGGCCTCTTGGCGCGAATCTTGGATGCCTCTTCGGGCGTCTTGGGGGGCCTCTTGAGCCGTCGGGAGGCCGTCGTCGATGTTTTTGGTCGCTCTTGGACCGTCTGGGACCATGAGGAGCTTTGTGGAGGCGAGTCGGAGCGCTCCTGGAGTGCTCGTGGGGCCGTTTTCGGAGCTCTTTTGGGCCGTCTTGGACGCCTGTTGGCGCGTCTTGGAGCCCTCTAGGGGTCTGTGGGGGACCCTCAAGGAGGCTTCTGGGACCGTCTGGGAGCGGGTTTGGGGGCCTCTTGGGCCGTCGGGGGGCATCGGAAAGGCCCCAAACTGAATGTGTGAAAAATGTGCGTTTCACGAAGGGAATGAGCAAATTTTTGCGTCTAGGGACCCTCGTGGACCGCATCTTGGAGGCCCTCGGGGGCGCTCGTTGGGACCTCTGTTGCCGTCGAGGACGCCTCGTGGCCCGTTTTTGGGCCACCGTGGGCGTCTTGGAGCGCTCGTTGGGCGTCCCAGAGCCATTTCGAGGCCACCAGAGGAGTCCCTGCACGATTTTCACGAGTTTTTGCACGATTTTCGGTCCCGGGTGGCACCCCCGCTCCCGTCCGGGACCGTCCGGGCCGTCCGGGGCCGTCCAGGGGACCCCCCCCCCTCCAAATCGACCGGACCGGGCTCCCGGGGGAGGGGTTTGGGGAGGGGGAACATCTCACACGCCGATGAACCCCAAGGGGTCGGCGGATTTCAACACCGCGAATCAACATGACTGTTGCACCCGCATAATCTTGAATCCTTCCAAAACACTATTGTTTGGTACGTTGATCATGGGAATCCGTGGAACGCTTGCAAGTTTTAAAACGAATGTGCGCGGCGCAGAGGCGAGAGCCACATTTTGAAAAGGGAGCGCCCTCAAGCCGTGAAGCTCTTACATCTTTTACAAATAGTGTGCGCAGCGCTACGGCGAGAACCACATGTTGAAATCCCGTCCTCAATCCGCGAAACTCTGGCAAATGTTTAAAACGAATGTGCGCGGCGCTGAGGCGAGAGCCACATTTTGAAACCGACCCGCCCTCAATCCGTGAAGCTCTTGCAAATGTTTAAAACGAATATGCGCGGCGCTAAGGCGAGAGCTACATTTTGAAAAGGAGCCGCCCTCAATCCGTGAAGCCTTTGGACATTTTTACAAATGATGTGCGCGGCGCTGAGGCGCGAACCGCATTTTGAAAACGACCCTCCCTCAATCCGTGAAGCTCGTGCAAATTTGAACCTGGTTGTTGGCGGCGCTAAGGCGAGAGCCACATTTTGAAAACCACCCCCCGCCCTCCATCTTTGAAGCTGTTGTCACTTTCTAAGCTTCAGAGTCATAAGTGGTTAGGAAGTCTCAGGCGAAATGCCCGGCACGCCCTAAAAACTTGCCTCGGGGTGCGACAGGGAGGAGTTATCTATAAGAAGAAGGAATGGAGGAGGAGGAAAGGAGGAGGAGGAGGAGGAGGAGGAGGAGGAGGAGGAGGAGGAGGAGGAGGGGGACGAGGAGGAGGAGGAGGACCAGTGTAAACCCAAGAGTCAGCAACGATGCTGGAGTAAACCCTCCCTCCAAGCTTCCTCTTCATAGGCCCCTACAACGACTAATTCCCACTGAAGGGATTGCCTCGTTGGAAGACAACAGTTTGAAGACCCAGAAGCAGGTCAAAACATGATTCTCGGGACTCCGACGCCACGGATCAACTTGGCTGTTGCGTCTTGACGATTCTGAATCTTGCCAGAACGCCATTCATGGGACTTCCACACTGCGAATCAACGTAACTGTGGCGCTCTCATAGCCTCGAATATTTACAAACACCATTTCTGGTACGATGATCATGGGAACCCGTGAGACTCTTCCAGATTTGAGAACGGACATGCGCGGCGCTAAGGCGAGAGCCACATTTTGAAACCAACCCGCCTTCAATCCGTGAAGATCTTTTTCGCAAATTGTGAAAACGAATGTGCGCGGCGCTCATGCGAGAGCCTTATGATGAAAACGACCCGCCCTCCACTTGTGAAATGGGTGAAGTAGTTGTCAATTTTTGAGCTGCAGGGTCACACGTGATGAGGAAGTCTCAGGCGAAACGCCCGGGTGCGACAGGGAGAAGTTATTTATAAGAGAAAGGAATGGAGGTAAAGGAGAAAGAGGAGGAGGAGGACCAGAAGGCGGAGGAGGAGGAGGAAGAGGACGACTAAAACGACGCCCGCCCCGACCCCCGATCGGGCACCCAAGGCTCGGGAAACCCAAGGTTACCGATACCCAGGACCGTCCAGAAACGACTCAGGATGAAAGACCAGTCCCGGGAAGGGATCGGGACTTCGGGGACTCCGTAATGAACACATCTGAGCGCCGCATGTCTGGGTGGTTGGCTCCCTCGTCCCCCTGTCAAGCGCAACCGTCAGCTTTCGCCGCTGGAGGCTGCGGGAGACCGCCCAGCGCAGCCGAAGACCGCCGACGCTCGCCAGACACTGCTGGAGGCCACAGAAGACCGATGGGCGAGGGGGCGTCCGTGGTGGAATGTGCAGCACGGACTGGAAAGGCGCTGGGGTTGCGCACAGGTAGCCCCTTTGAGGCAGTCCATCACCACCCACCAAACCACCCCAACCCAACCCGAAGGTCTTGATTTGCCCTCCATTTCCAGTTGGGGGGGGGGCGGGGAACATCGAGAAAACACCTATGGAACCCGTACCCCCCCCCCACCCGAAATTCGGGCCTTCGGGTTGGGTTGGTGTCGTCTGGTAGGTAGTCATGCGCACAGGTAGCCCCTCGAGGCAGTCCAGGCTCGCCTCGGCCAGGCCCCCCAAAAGGCAGCTGCGGGCGGTGCCTCGACACCCCCCGCCCGCGCCGTCGCCCGCGGCGCCCCGTGCGCTCCGTACCCCCGTGCGGGGGGCCCTGTCGAGGCCAGTCTGGGCCGAGTCCAAGGGTCGCCTGGACGCAGCGCCAAGCCTGTCCAGCGAGGAGGACGCAGCGCCAAGCCTGTCCTGCGAGGAGCACTCCGACGAAGCAGTCGCGCGGGGCGTCGCGAAGGCCTACCTCTCGCGCGTGTACGCCGAGACCACCATGCCGACCAAGGCATACCTCATGCGCGTCTACGCCAGGGCCCTGGCTTGAGCGCCCGGCCATCGACAGCGTCCGCGATCTGGCTGCTCCCAGAGCGCTGGGTGTAGATGGGAGCAACGGAGGAATGAGGAGGAGGAGGAGGAGGAGGAGGAGGAGGAGGAGGAGGACGGGGACGAGGGGGAGGGGGAGGGGGAGGAGGAGGAGGAGGAGGAGGAAGAGGAGGTGGAGGAGGAGGAGGAGGAGGAGGAGGAGGACCAGTGTAAACCCAAGAGTCATCAACGATGTTGGAATAAACCCTCCCTCAAAGCTCCCTCTGCATAGGCCCCTACAACGGGGCATTGCCACTGAGGGAACCGTCTCGATGGAGGACAGCCGTTAGAAGACCCTGAAGCGTGCCAAAACACCATTATCGAGACTCCAGCGCCACGAATCAACATGACTGTGGTGTCTTGACGGTATGAAATTGTGGCAGAGCACAAGTCCTGGGACTTCAACACCGCGAATCAACGTAACGGTTGTGCCGTCACAGTCTGGAGTCTTTCCAAAACACCATTTCTGACACGTTGACCATGGGAATCCGTGAAACTTTTGCAAATTTGCAAAAACGAATGTGCGCAGCGCTAAGGCGAGAGCCCCATTTTGAGAAGGAGCCGCCCTCAATCCGTGAATGTCTTACAAATCTAGAGAACGAATTTGCGCGGCGACAGGGCGAGAGCCACATTTTGAAAACGGCCCGCCCTCCAAGTTGGAAACGGTTGCTATTTCTTAAGCTTCAGGGTCATACATGGTGAGGAAGTCTCAGGCGAAACACCCGGCCCGCCCTAAAAACTAGCCCCAGGGTGCGACACGGAGGAGGAGGAGGAGGAGGAGGAGGAGGGGGAGGTGGGAGAGGAGGAAGAGGAGCAGGAGGAAGAGGAGGAGGAGGAGGAGGAGGACTCTGGACTCTGGACTTTCATGAAGGCTCATGGTCAGCCTGTACTGAAGACACGCACGACACAATCAAGCACTATGCAAGATCATTCAACGCACATCTCTGAAAATGACAAGGACGAGGTGCCCTACCTCGTCGCGCCTGGACCACACGCCGCTGCCCGACATAGAAGGGCATGCGCGCGGACTGCCTGTAACTCACTCTCCGGAGGGAGGGGAGGAGCAGTAGCAGCAGCAGGAGTAGAGAAGAGGCCTCCAGGAGGAAGCCCACGGCGCACAGCGCGCCGAAAGCGGGCCTGCTCCCGCCTCGCCTGGATCTGGCGGCGGAGCTCCGGCGTGAGCTCCACGCGGGCGGGGGGGGGAGGAGGAGGAGGAGGAGGAGGAGGAGGAGGAGGAGGAGGAGGAGGAGGAGGAGGAGGAGGAGGAGGAGGAGGAGGAGGAGGGAGGCGGGTAGCCCAAGGGTCCCCGGCCGCCTCTCTCGCCCGCAGCAAGCCCTCCTCGGCCCAAGGATCCTCCTCCTCCCACGGGGCCTCAGAGGGGCCCACGTCGCCACCAGGATTCACCGAGGGGGGCTCCAGAGGGCACTCCGGGGGGGCAAACTGCTGGGGCTGAGGACGGTCAAAACGGGTGTCCCTGGGCCTCCTCTGAAATCCAGCAACATCCAACGCTATGTGGGATTGATCCTCCGCGGTATCTGCAGCATACAAATCAAGAGCCTGAAGAAACACGCTCAGCTCATCGGGAAGATCACTGGAGTCAAGAAGGTCTGGATCGGATAGCTGGAACGCATCTTCCACATATCTAGCAACAGCTCTTGCCATCGCAGCACATAGGTCCTGAGGGTACCTTTATTTGGAGCAGTACGCCACTTGCCTGTTTGGGGATCAATGCCCAAGAGGGTGGTGTGGGCGGTGCGGGAATGGGGACAACGACCACCATGACCCAAGCTCAGTATTTCCTCGGCCAGGGACTCCAGACGTATGCAGAGAAACGTTGTCGGGGCCTTGCTCACCTGTCCAAAGATGCATTGGTCAAACGAAATGGTTCTGGACGGGGGCGCAGCACTCAACGCACAACAGGTGGCCGATTGCCAAGACGAGAGGGCCCGAGGTTCTCAGTGGGCCTGCTCAGGGTGTTCCTTCAAAGCACACGCGCCTACCTCCAGGCAGGTCAGCATCAACTGGTGCTGGCTGAGCAGGAGCTGTGAGCCTATGGAGAGCTGAAGGTGCTGACGAACACTGACTCAGGCCGACCCCATCTATGCCTCAAAGTTCGAAGAGGAGCGGGAGGGCGATAACGATCAGCAACTCTGAGCTCCTGCCACCTCGCTGCAGACCATGTCTCGCAGGGAGGGCCGCCTATCAAACCGATAGCACGGCCTGTTCTCAGAAGCATATCCCACTTATCAACAATGTCGGAGCGAGTCAAGTCCCCGTTGACTCCATCACAAGCCACATCACACGATATAATGATAATCGTAACATGCCCCGAAACCAGAACACGTTCTAACTCATCCTGGACATCACCTGGTCGTCTAGCTCCTGAGAACAGATGCAAGAACGCTAGTACAGCATACTGTAAAGGCCGAGGACACTGCTCAGCAGCTGGGCCATGATACTCGAGAGGTTCGAACTCATGTTCGTCTTCGAGAGGGGCTTCACGACGGGGATCTTCTTCTTGCACCTCGAAAAGGGGCTCGGGGTCCTCCTCAAACTGGTAATCCATGGAGCGGATAACTTGCCAAGCATCCCGATAAGGAAGACAGGATAGTTGAGGAACATTGCGAGGCCCAGGAACCCGATAGACAGGGAGCCAGGCTCCCCGACGCATGGCACCCTTGGTACGTGCAGTACGTCTCTCCAGGGCCTCTTGGGCCCGAACTTCTTCAAGAACCTCTGGAGCCTCAGGGGCCAGGTAGGAGAGAGCCGAGATGTAGCAGTTGGGGTTTCCATATGCTAGATGATCAACGCTAAGTTCGACCGAACTGAACCGAGTCAGACATATCGGGCAGGTACTGCTATGAATATATCTGGCCGCCGCCGCCCGCTGTTGAAAGTGCAGTCGAGCGATGCGCTGCTTCGCGGCGGCGCACTTGGGAGACGAGAGCGGACAGAACGGGCAGCGATGCATTACAGGAACAGGTGCCGGCCTCAGCGAAAGATCTGGTGGCGCGCCAATCCGCGCAGCATGCTGGAAAAAACATTGTGTCCTCTGGCGTGCATCCTCGAGTCTGCAGGCCCACCGGATATGAGCCTCCACCCCAGACCGAACTAGGTTAGCCCAGTGTTGTCCCCGTCCAAGAATCTCCTTCTCCCAGAAGGGGCTGGGGAAATCCCTGAGCCTAGACACCCTCGTACGAAGCCATCGGAGATCATCCATAATCATATTGAACCAGGAGTGCTTGGGTTCCGATGTTGCCCGAATAAGCCCAAAGAGAGCCCCAGGAACATACCGATACAGCCGACTAAGATACCGAAGACGATGCCATCGCAACATTATATTCACGTCACATCGTTGGGCAGCAGCAAGAATAGCGGAGTCCGGGTCCGCTCCATCGTCATGCGCTGGCCTGCTCAAGGCAGAGCGATAGATGCGCACAATGCCAGCTCGATATCGATTAAACTGCGCCAGAGAGGGTTGTGGCCACGTGGCCGCATTGTAGAGCCTGCCGGACATGATCAGCACATCCGAGAGCTGGAGCTCATGTTGATACTGGAGCTGCTTAATGGGGAATACCACCTGACGGAGGGCCTGTAGGGACGGCGACGTAGACGACACCCGGTAGGCCAACTCAGGGGCCAAGTCTTGCTCATCCGAAAGCATACCTCCCAAATGTTTGTACGTGTGCACTGCCTCCAGAGTAAGCCCCTTGGAAAACGTACAAGTCGGCGGAATCGAAACCTTACCTTCCTCCTCGATCCAGAACTGCTTGCGGGCCATGACAGCCCCCGAGCCCCTGAAGGAAGGTGATCATGAGAGCGCTCTTGGTGGGTCCCACATTGATCTCGAGGCCTGCGGGGGTGAAGGAGTCGGCCACAATAGCCGTGAGAGTGCGAGTGCGCGCGACAATCTCACCAGCAGGTCCCCATGCATTGAAAAGACGGTCATCACTGTACTCAACACCATTGGCAGAGACCTGAGCATCGCACTGAGCTAGTGGGTCTAGGGTCCTGGTAGTCGGAATAGACAGATCCTGATGTAGCCCAGCTTCCTGGATACAGTCCCAAGTCTTCCAGACGCACCTCGAAACAATAAAGAGAAAGAGCTGAGGCGCTAGAGTATTCCCCGGCCTGGTACCCGTAGTCATGATCGAAACCGAACCTGATCCTTGGGTAGTGGCCCACGTGCCTGTCAAGGTCTCTGCCAATGCTCGCTGCAAATGGTCTGGCACTTCAAGCTCCTCGAGCAGAGGCGGACGAGCAAGCTCCGCAGCCAAGGCCTCCATGCAGGAGGGTGGCAAACCTGGGGCTTGCAGGAGTTGCGCAATACGAATATCCGTGATAGACTGTTCGCCCTCGAACCTGACCATGATTTCTCGGATAGCATGGTGATGCGCGGCTTCAAGGTCCACGAACAGGGTAGACATGGATTCCGAACGCATGCGAGAGTGCTCTTGCAAGAGACGAACCACGTGTACAGCAAAATCGGTGCCGCGCCCACGTATACCACCACACTGAGACTCGGGTGCGAAAGCGTCGAGATATGGCTGAGGGCGCTGAGCAGCAAGGGCATGGGCACGCTTGCCAACTTGGGGCCCCGTGGCCACTGATCTACTAAAATTACTCCTGTTGGGGAGACCTCGGCCCTTGTAAAGATCAGCAAGCTGAGAGCTTTTCCACTGAAGGGGCTCATGCGCACACAACATGTACTTCATCACCAAGGGGGAAGTAAAGTCTGGCACGCTCCTTCGAACATGATTTCAGGATAGCCCCAGGGACACAACCCAAACCATTGGCACAAGTACTCGAGGTCCTCAGCATCTGCTGTTCAAACATGGCCAGCGTAGGCAGGTTCATAGCAGCAGACGCGTCAAACGTATTGATCTTGGCACGAGACTCCCCATACAAACTCCAGTAAGCTATGAGCGGGAACTCGAAACCCTAGCTCCTGTTCAGCAAAGTCTTCCAGCCACCGTTCACGAGACGCCGTCGGAGTCAAAGCCGTTGACCCGTCTTTCAAAAGGACCTGGGCGGACTGGCAGGCGGCCTTC